AATGAACTGCGAAATTACATATAAGCCAAGATCTTAAATGTTAAAAACTAATTATGTATTTTTCATCCATTTTTCAGATAAATATTGTAAATATTGGTACAGTTGCCACAGAGATTCAGAGCGCTATAGCTGACAATGTCCTAGCAACTAGCGTTATGGCAACACTGCTGGCACCGGATGGCATGTAAGTATCCATTACTAACCTTCACTCACACGAACACACATAAATACATGCAAACACAAATATGCACTATACACTCATTGCATAGCGTCTGTCTCTGTTTTTCTCTGTCTTCTCTGATTGACGTAGGTACTTCCCCTATGAGGAGGATAATCATAGGTTAGTACGAGAGATTGGCAACGTAACAGATGGTGTTGAGATCACCTTCCAGTTTGCAGTCAGACCAGAAAAAGTTGAATGTAAGCACAAAATATACAGTGCAATCAAAAGAAATTGAATTGAAACAATGCACGTTTAAGCATTTTTATATGGAACACAAAATGTAGAATTTTTAAATGTGCGTTTTTTTAGGTTTCCAACAACGGGACCGGGTCCCTTTTCAGCTGCAGCTGAGTTTCAAGACTCGAGATTTGCAGAAAGTGACGAGAGTCATCACTCAACAGAAACGTGTCACCACCAGCAGGCAAACCACTAAAAATACTACACAATAACAGCAAACACCCTGCAGATCTATGACTGTCTCATCTCACTTTATAGTTTTGACATAAACTACTTGCTGATTTATAGTCAGCTGTTTCACATGCAAAAATGTAATTGTAGTAGACATAGAAAGACAGTTATATATATATCTCAACCTTCCTTTCTCCATCTCTGTGTCTTGTCCTGTGTGTGTAGTTGGGTGTGGGCAGGCAGTTTAAATATGTCTGTGTTGGGCGTTCACTGTGCCCAGCTGTGTGCCAGGCTGACTATGGAGGGCCGGGTACAGGAAGCACAGAGACAACTCAGAGCTCAGCAGGACCTTCTCAAAGACATCAGGTATAGCAAACCTCTCCAGACGGCTCTTTGCTACATCATATGTGTATGTATAAAAAAATATCTCTCTTAATGTATTGTTTATCTCACAGTCAACAGAAGCCGAGCCCTAAAGAAGAGAGTATCTATGGGAACTGGATCAGCACCATGAGTATGATCTGTGAAGACCTCACCACTGTCAACCAGGTGTGCATACACCCTCAACCTTCCAAATAATAGTATAAATAAATGATTTCATTTTATTTTTGAATTTTATGAATTTCCAGCATCATCACTCCAGTCTTCAGTGTCACATGATCCTTCAGAAATCATTCTGATATGCTGATTTGCTGCTCAAAACATTTCTTATTATTATCAGTGTTGAGAATAGCTGTGCTGCTTAATATTTTTGTGGATGCGATACATTTTTTCAGGATTCTTTCATGAATGGAAAGTACGAAGTAAAAATTAACAGCATTTATTTGATATAGTCTTTTTTGTAACATTATACATGTCTTTACTGTCATCTCTATATATTTCTTAAGGATCACGTGACACTGTAGACTGGATTAATGGCTGCTGAAAATTTGCCTTTGCCGTTAGAGAAATAAATTACACTTAAGCAGTTGTTTTACAATAGTATTTCACAATATTACTGCTTTACTGTATTTTGATTAAATAAATGCAGCCTTGGTTAGTGTAAAGTGAGTATTTAAAAAAATCGTTATTATTCCAAAAATTCCAAATGTTATATAATCATTAATATTATTAAGTCATTAAAACATTATGGAATATTTAACTAATCAGTAGGTGGTGCTATTCAAATATGAATACATATCAAGCATTTTTATTACATGAATAAGTTGTATGCATTAAAATTTACTACACTTTAATACACTTTAGCAGAACATAAATCAAGCATTGTCATTGTTTACTTAATTCAGCATACCACACTCTAAAAAATGCTGGGTTAAATACAACCCAGTGCTGGGTAAAATAGGGACAAACCCAGCAATTGGGTTGTTTTGACCCAGTGGTTGGGTTAAATGTTTAACCCAACCTTCTGGGTAGTGCACAGTCTGGATAGACACACTCTTAAATGCTTGTAGATATGTGTCAGTGATTGTGTTTAACATTCAACATGTTTTGAAATCTGCTCAGCTCCAAAAGTGCCCCAAGCCATATTAGCATTATAGATGAATCATTATTTGTGACTAAATGATAAAGTCCTTGTGCTAAAAGCATGACACACTTTTACTCTAAACAGAACACAGCAGAAACTGACACCATACCAGCATCCCGAACACCTTCCGCTGCGGTGAGTTAAAGATCTCCCACACTTTATATGTGACCCTGGATCACAAAACCAGTCATAAGGGTCAATTTTTTCGAAATTGAGATTTATACATCATCTGAAAGCTGAATAAATAAGCTTTGCATTGATGTATGGTTTGTTAGGATATGACAATATTTGGCTGAGATACAACTATTTGAAAACCTGGAATCTGAGAGTGCAAAAAAATCTAAATATTGAGAAAATCGCCTTTAAAGTTGTCCAAATGAAGTTCTTAGCAATGCATATTACTAATCAAAAATTAAGTTTTAATGTATTTACAGTAGGAAATTGACAAAATATCTTCATGGAACATGATCTTTACTTAATATCCTAATTATTTTTGGCATAAAAGAAAAATCAATCATTTTGACCCGTATTTTGGGCTATTGCTAGAAATATACCCCAGCGACTTAAGACTGGTTTTGTGGTCCAGGGTCACATATATAACAGAAAATATAGGATTTAAAACGCGGATGTACACACAAACTTGTTAGGATTTTGAAAAACAGTTATACATAAAATGAATAAGAAATGATGCTGAGATTTCATGGATCATCACATCAAATATGTTCCCCTCCAGAGTCTCTCAGATGCGGCGGCCAAGGTGGTCTACCAAATGAAGAGAGCGAAGAGCGTGAGCGGAAAGGGACAGAGAGTTGCCATGCTGGAGCACTGAGCTCAGATGTCACCTAGACTCATGAGCGGTCATTTAAATGTGAAACCAGTCATATAGGCTGCTATATCAATCTCAAACTATGGGCAATGAATACTGCTTGGAATATATGCAATATAAAATATATGCAAACTATGAGTTGATAACCTAGTATCCAGCTGGTGAGTTTCTTGTCATGCCATCACTGCTGTATTTATCTTTGGCTGGTCTGTGCATTTCAGACAATTTTGCGTGAGTAACTTGGGTAAATGTATGTCAGATTACCAGCTTAGATACTAGGGACTGTATTAATAAATATAATGCGATCAAATAAAACATGTTTTATAGAAATCACAGTCTGATTCCTCTTACTCTTTCTACTTACACCACATTAAAATCTTCAAATCATTTTATAATGTATGCCGATTTAAAGGATAAAGACTGGTAAAAGTGTGTCAACAGAACCAACTTTAGTGATGTACGTGACAAAAATGCCCTGATCATTTGCACTCTGTGTTCTTTCTTATCGCACTCTCTGTCTTTCCCTAATGTTAATGTCAGATGTAGAGTAGCGTTTGACGTTTGAAATACCATTCATGAAATGAGGCGATTCTATCTGTCTCTCTGCAGATGGTATGTACCTAGAAACCTGTGTCACCATCTGGTTCTCCCTTAAGAAAAACATCTGGTTTGTGAGAAATCACAGTCTGATTCCTCTTACTCTTTCTACTTATACCACATTAAAATCTTCAAATCATTTTATAATGTATGCCGATTTAAAGGATAAAGACTGGTAAAAGTGTGTCAACAGAACCAACTTTAGTGATGTACGTGACAAAAATGCCCTGATCATTTGCACTCTGTGTTCTTTCTTATCGCACTCTCTGTCTTTCCCTAATGTTAATGTCAGATGTAGAGTAGCGTTTGACGTTTGAAATACCATTCATGAAATGAGACGATTCTATCTGTCTCTCTGCAGATGGTATGTACCTAGAAACCTGTGTCACCATCTGGTTCTCCCTTAAGAAAAACATCTGTTTTTCTACAGATTTAACACTACGTCATGTTTTTCCATAATGAGGCTTTGTTTTGCACATATGACCTCTGGTTCACCCCACAAACTGACCGCAAAAGACCTTTAATTCAGTCATGATCAGGTCCAGATCTCTGTAGAATCACAGGTTTTGCAGACCCATCTCCTTGTGTTATTTATTTATTCATTCATTTATAATTTTATTTCAGCTGCCAATAAGCATGTTGTACTGTCATCTCAGTTTAACATGCTTTACAATAAAGAAAATGCAAAAAATAATACATAAAAGTTTCAAACAAATGATGCAAAACCTTTTCTCAGAATAATTTTTTGGTCACACTTTATTTTAAGGTCCAATGGTCGTTATTAACAAACCATTAACTATGACTTTTGCCTCAATAAACTCCTAATTTGCTGCGTATTAATAGTCAAGGTAGTTGTTAGATTTAGTTATTGGGTAGGATTATGGATGTACAATATGGTCATGCAGAGCATGTGCTTTATAAGTACTAATAAACAGCCAATATGTTAATAATAGGCATGTTAATAAGCAACTAGTTAAAAGAGAGAGAATTAGTCCCTATATACTGAAGTGTTACCAATTTTTCTGACTTTTAGCAATGACTTTTATCCAACTGGTGTCATTTTGTGTAGTTCATCATATAGACATTTCATTCATATTAACATATGACAAAACTTAATTTTGAACCGTATAGAATAAAATTAAATCTTTGCAGATTCTGACTGGGTTTGGTCATGATCATTGTCAGTATTAGTTAAAACAAAATGTAAACTACTTATGTTTCTGCATGATTCATTTGACAAAACCTGACAACGAAGTGTGTGTGAAACAAGCATGTAATTTTGCTTGGAATCTCATCAGACAGGTTTAAGCTCACTCTATCTGGGAGAAAGAGAGAGAAAGAGCGCTGATGAGGGAGGGAGGGGCAGATCAGTCAACCAAAAGCAAACCACACGTACGATTTTCGATCATACCTGTACAGCTGGATACAACACGAGGACAGAGTACGAGACCACCGGATAAAGAAAAAAGAGTCTTACAGAGGTAATTTACACCGAGATTTAATGTAAATTCAATTTTATGACTGTTACTATAGATTTGGCGTTAAGCATATAAGTCAAAATCTGTTATAAAAATTATAGTTCATACTAAATCATATAGTTAATAAAGAAGTATTTCGATTAAAAAAATTGTTGACACTTAAGCCACACTTGAAAACGAATGAATGTCATTGATCAGATGACGAATGAAACCAAGAAGTGTTTATTTGAGAGAACGATAGCTTAAGCACACTTCTCAAGCAAAACTACTTTTTGTTGTTGTTGCTGTAAAAAGGGACAAAAAAACACATCTTACCACTTGTCAAACTCGATTCTGAGACACTGTGGTGAAGCACACTGTGAACCTGAGGGAACTGACTTCATACATAAAATCATGGGACTGGCTGGTTAAATGTTACTGGGAAAAAATGCTTTGTTCTGAGAAAGTGTTCATTTGTTAGCAGATTTAACTAGGTTTGATATGTTGTTGTCTTTATTCAATGACATTCTGGAGTTTTAAGTGCCACCGGCATAATAGTACAACTGATTGGCTTCATTTGTGTGTGTGTGTTTGTTCATTTGTTTCCTTTGTTTGAAATAGGTTTGAATTCCCAGAACCCACCCAGCTGCTCCACAGGACTAAGATAGTTGGCGGGTAAAGGAAGGAACATACCACTGAAGCAGACAGATCTGAAATGTGACAAGTGCTCTTACACAACATGTGCACACTTTAGCCAGTAGTGCCTCATTCCAGTGTGAAACTGCTGATTAGAGGTGAGAGCACCATTTTCTAATCTGTCTAATTTAGTGAGATTTACAAAACATCTCAATGAAACTAACCTACATCCTGGACTATTGCTACTAACATACACCGACTCAGTAATCCTAGAGGTCGCTTTTGTCTGTGAAGATTGACAACTGAACAATTGTTGGTATGACAACTATATTTGACCTTATAAACTGCATTTGAATATGTTACATTGGCTCTAGTTTTAGTACTTGTGACTATTTTCACAGCTTTCTTATTGACACAAGGTGTTGTGATCATGTTCTATTTGTAGGTTTGCTGTTGTGCTGGCTGAAGTATTTAAACTCATGCCAAATGTTTGAGTCTAAAACCCTAGAAGCAGAAAAAAATGTTTTATCCTCCAAAATGAAATAGGAAAGCACTAGAAAAAGGGTTATAGTTACCTAAAACTAAACCCATAAAAATGTGTCGCTTGAAATAAAATAAATGTTAAACGTAATAAACTAAAACATTTTTTTATTTATTTCAGCCATATGCCAAAGCAATATTTCTAATTTCTTATTTTTTATTTGAAATAAAATTAATAATAAAAAACGTACATAGACATCTAAAAAACAACAACTAATAAAAATAACAAAAACACAACAAAATTACTACAAATTTTACTGACCTTAAGACAAGGCAAGGCAAAGTTTATTTATATTGCACATTTCATACACAATGGCAATTCAAAGTGCTTTACATATAAAAGGAATTAAATATATAATCATAAAAACATAATCACAACAATAAAACAAGGAATGTAAAAAATGTTATGTAATTAATTTTAATTATTAAATGTTTTAATTTTAATAATGATTTAAAAATTTATTTAAAATTAATTAAAACAGTAAAGAAAAAAATGGTTATACAAAAATACAGTGCAATCAGTTCGGATGTAGCACAGTGCTCATTCAGTAAATGCACAGCTGGAAGCCAGTGTAAGGACCTGAGGACTGGTGTGATATGCTCAGATTTTCTGGTTCTAGTCAGAATCCTGGCAGCAGCGTTCTGGATGAGCTGCAGCTGATTTTTAGTTGTTTGACCCCTAGAGTAAAGGTATGCATTCACTTTGAGAACTTCATCTTTGTTTTCCAAATGCAATGACTTCAGTTTTTTTCTCGGTTAACTGAAGAAAGTTGGCACATCCAACTGTTAATTTCTTCAATGCATTGGCAGAGGAAGTCAGTGGGGCTGTAGTCATTTGGAGATAAGGCAAGGTAAACCTGGGTATCATCCGCATAGCTGTGATAGGCAATTTGGTGGAAGTGCCTTTTTCTGTTCTAAAGAAGGGGGTGTCCCAATACTTTTGTCCATAGTGTGTGTACAAGTCGTTGTTGTTAGGTGATGAGTTTTTGGCACAAGGTCTTCATTTAAAGCCACACCAGAGGTGTTCAGCTGGGATTATTATTATTTTTTTTTTATTTAAACCTTTATTTAACCAGGAAATGAAACTCTTGAGATTAAAAATCTCTTTTACAAGAAGGTCCTGGCCAAGATTGGCAACACATTTAGTTACACATAAAATTAAATACATTAATTTACATATACAGAAATATACACAAGTCACTCGAAACATTTACAATCAAATGACTCTAAAACTAGATCCTTTAAAATACATTTAAAATCAGTTAGTGATACCAACTCTTTTAAGCATAACTTATCTTGTAATTGATTCCAATCAAATGGAGCTGCATAACTAAATGCCCGTTGACCCATATTAGTACGAACTTTAGGGATGCTTAAAAGATAATAGCCTTGTGAGCGAAGACCATAATTCTTTACACCTTTTTGAATGATATTCTGCTGTAAATACGAAGGAAGTAAACCTAAAATGATTTTATATATAAATAAGTACCAATGCTTGAATCTATGGGATGACAACGCCGGCCAACCAACCCGAGAGTACAATAAACAATGATGAGTAAGGGCTTTTGAATTTGTGATAAACCGTTAATGCTCCATGATAAACCGAACGCCTGTAAACAACGTTTAGGTGCCTGCATATAAATGATATCACAATAATCCAACACTGACAAAAACATAGCTGCTACCAATCTCTTCCTTGCTTCAAAAGAAAGACAAGACTTAACTCTAAAAAAAAAAGGCCCGGTTTCGACTTTAATTTTTTCACAAGGTACTAAACATAAGGCCCAAAAGAAAGAGAATCATCGATGTATTCATATACATTTACACTTCAGTTTTTCAAAACTGGATGAAACCAAAAGAACCGCAAAGAGTCCTTTTTTTTTAGAACTTAGGACT